CACGTCGACACTCCACACAGTTAGTAATCTAGGCAATCTCTTCGCGAACCAAGGAAAGCTAGAGGAGGCAGAAAAGATGTACGAGCGGGCGCTGCGAGGATATGAGGATGCGCTAGGATACGAGGATGTGGAGAAACACAGGTCAGCGCTCAATACAATGGAGAACTTGGGCAATCTTTATAGAAAGCAGGGAGAGTTAGTTAAGGCTAAAGATATGCTCTTAAGAACTCTTCTAGGCGTTCAATATGTTTTTGGGCCGTCCAGCGATCGATATCAACGTATCAGAGCCACAATAGCTGCCATGGGCCATTTCTAGAAGTAAGATATCAGGAATCATTAACATGGACGATTTGATAGCTAACGAACTTATAAAAGTGTAGACGATATCACAGAGCCGCCCATGAAATGGCAACACCTGATAGCGGCAACGGCGGCTTGATTTCTTCCACATAAAGACCTACGACAATGTATATCTAGCACCACTTCTGTAATAATCTGGCAGAGGAGCCTTTTATCCTCATGGGCATCTACGCTGTTGCAAGTAAGCCGTAGAAGTTGTTGCCAGTAGTTAAATACAAGAATCAAATCTCGGGAACAAAAATGAACAACAACGATGAACAACAACTAGTGTAGTGCCTTCGCTAGCACAGGCTTGACTAAGCAGGTCATGGAGAATACATTCGCGGGGCTTACTGTGTATAGTGTGCAGTACACAATCACCGGCTTCGAATTTTGGCGGGCAAAGACCAGCATGCCTGCGTCTTGTGCGGAACGGCGATGCAGATAAGAAAATGATCATTGTGTCAGATTTGCTTGAATGGCAGAAAAGATGGTCCATGTCTTCAACCGTAATCGCATCGACCGTCCGTATGTCGTCCGAACAAGCTCCGCCAACCCCGCGCACATTTCTTAGCCCGAGTCATCCAAATTCACACTTGCTCGGATATGTTCAGCAATGCTGACAGCGAATCCCTGACAGGCAGGATGTCTGCACCAGCATGGTTTCCATGGACAACGGCACGGTTGGGTGGCTAAGCGAGCGGCGTTCGATGAAAGGCTAGTAGATTATTGGTGGCTTTGTTGTGCAGCTGAGAATTAGAACCTCATCCATCGTCTTTTGTCTTCCAAGTCCCTTAGGCATGCTGTTCGAACATCGTGGATGGAGATAGGATCGCTGACTCGTGAGACAACACTATCAGATCTGATCGATATCTCAATCTAGAAACCCGCATAAACTTCACCCCGCTTCACCACTGAGCTTACACGAGAGACCCGAGCGATCCTCAATACGGGCTGGTGTGGCTTGCACAGCCTCGCTGAGATGCCGTTCCTGGCGTTTCCAGACTCTTTGTTTGTCGAAGCTTTTGTCCTTTTGAGTAGTCGATAATGATATTCGACAGCCGCCATTGGACAAGAACGGTGCTTTCGCAGCAAACCCCTCTCTTGTGCAACGCCACGAAGCGAGAATAAGAGCAATGGCTGAAGGGAAGTGATGAGCTTGGAGCATTCCGATGCGAGATGCGGCGAGGGAGGAGCTGATTCTTATAGCCACGGAAGGACGCGCAATCCTGCTCAATTGCTCTCATTTTGGCTCTCAAGGACTTCGTATTTGACTTGCTCCTCGATCCACATCTGCAAAGCTTGATTCGACGTCGGCAATTCATTCGCCCAACTACATCCAACCCACAGCTTGAAACCCGAAAGCAGTTAGCCATGCACTTCAAAGCCCTTCTCCTCTCCGCTCCTGTCGTCCTCGCGAATGTTTACACCATCGATGTCGGCGAGTCCCCTCTTACCTTCTCTCCCAAGACCATCAGCGCAAAGGTCGGCGATACGGTGATCTTCCACCTGTACAGCTCGCATGATGTAGCCCAGGGCAGTTTCGATAAGCCGTGTCAGCCGTTGAGTGGAGGATTTTACTCCGGTCCGTTCAGTGGTACGGATAACGGTAACAAGAAATTCGTCATGAATGTTACAAGCACAGACCCCATCTACTTTTACTGTGCTGTGCAGAAACATTGTCCGAATGGAATGGTTGGAGGGATTAATATCCCGTATGTGATATCTTGTTCCCTTGACATGTCCTACGAAAGGAAGGCACATTTGAAACAAAGTTGATATGTGTGAATCAGGTCCGGCGATAAGTCCATCGAAGCGTATGCTTCCGCTGCCAAGGCTGCTACACCATCTGCACCAGCCAGCTTGAGCGGTGGAAAGTTGGAGACAGATCAGGAACTCGCTGCTTTGACGGCGTCGGCGAGCGCAACTGCTAGGTATGTTGAATTTGAGACGCCTTTATGAAACTCTCATTTCCTCTTATTTCCGCGCTTTCTAGTATATTAATGAGAGCAATCCCCCGAGCAACCATCCCGCGTTCCCCCCTCCCTTTTCACACCCTTTCCTCGATTGGCCCACAGCCCCCACATGGTCGCCGAACTCACACTAACAACCTTCTAGCGCCTCGCGTTCTGCTTCGGGCTCCGCATCCACCGGCGCCGCCTCTGGCACACCGGCAGCATCAGGATCTTCAAAGCCCTCAGGCTCCGCCACAGCCGCTGCTTCTGGCACTGCTAGCGCCAAGGCTAGCTCCACGGGTGCTGCGGATGCGCTTATTGCTAGCCAGGGATACGGCATCGTCGCTGCTGCCTTTGGTGTCGTTGCCTGGTTCTTGTAGGGGGGTGTTAGGAAGAGAGCAGGAGAGGGAGAAGGAAGGAAAGGGAGGTGGGAATTAAGAATAGTTCTGTAAGCTAACAGATGGTATGGGCCATTGGCCCTGTCTGGATGTTATTAGTTTAGTCAGGGGATTTATGATATCGTAATGCTAAGTTGTGAATATTCCCTGATTGAGATAGGTTGCTTTGGTGAATGTTGGGCGTGTTTTCCTGAGTGTATGACTTATAGTAGCGGCAGAAAATTTTTTAAGGGATTACCTGAGGATGGGGGGTTAGGATGGTTGGTGGATTCCATCTGTCATCTAACTTGGAAAGGACGCGGCGGTATTTGGGGACAGAAATTGCGTCCTACCAGCAAGAGGTTTAGCAGATAAGCCCCACGTTATTCATGCTCCACGTTACGTGGTAACTTATAGGTCGGAGTGGCAAGGCAACGTCAGCAGACTCTCATTGCCCATTTATCTAACACATCTGCTGATGATTGTAAAGCAACACCACGACACTAGCAATACTTTATTGGAATTTTAATCATTGTTGCAGGTTCATTATCGATATCTAAGTATCGTACAAGACAATCATACATTCCATTCTACTCCACTTCCATAACCCGTACCTACTTCCCATCGCTTGTTTGAAAGCCCCCCTCATCTGCCTAATTCGGTGTTGCGTCGTCTATCGGATGGCAATATGTCTGATCTCAGGCACTGGCGCCTTTGGTACTTGAATAGAAAGCACCCCATTCCTAAGCGCAGCCCTCACATTCTCAGCATCGATCCTCACCGGGAAGCGGAACGTGCGTTCGAAAGACCCATGCACACGCTCATTGAGCCATTCGAGGCTCTCGGGCTCCTGTTGGTGGACTTCTTGCTGAGGTTGGGTCTCGGCCGTCTTGAGCTCGGCAGTAGTACGCTGCTCCACGGCTTCTTCCTTGCCCTTGGGTTCGCGGGTCTCAGGGGAGGTACCAGTAGAAAGTGTGGATGAAGTCTCGGCGCCAAGATCTTCAAAGTCGTCTTCGACGGTGGGCTGGTAGGATTTATGGCTCTCGGTGTCACTGCTGATTTCCTGTTCAGTGATGGTGACACCGTCTACGCTATCCCTCTTTTCCTCCTGACTGGGTTCAGCCTGGGCCTCGGCTCCAGCAACATCCTTCGCTTGCTCCACCTTCGTCTCCGTATTCCCTCTAACACTCAGCGTATATTCATCGCTAACCTGAACCTCAATGTTCTCCTGCTCAAACCCAGGAACCTCGCCTTCGACTTCATATCCCTCCTTTTTCTCCCGTACATCGAACCTTGCACGGAAAGCTTGCTTACGCTGCTGGCGAGCCTGGTGGGCGGCGCGACGAGCCTCGCGGTCAAGTTCGGTAAGGAGTTCGTCAACTTGGCTGAGGAAGGGGACGAAGGAGGGGAAGGCTGGGCGGGAGACGCGTTGGCGGAAGATGGGGCGCAAGACCGGTGCGCAGTTGGACGTGAAAGGATTGCAGGTGTTGTTGGTGGAGGGGCTGAAGCGCGGCGTAAGGAAAAATGCCATTGTTTGTGGTAGAGTGGGTTGGTGGGTCTGAAGTTGGAAGAGTATGTTTAGGATTTAGGTGTTGTTCAGGCAGTTACGTAATGTGTGAGTACAGATGTAGATACGGCTGTGGATCTAGGATATGGGATATGGAATATGAGAGGAGTGGATCTGAAAAGTTGTTGATGGGAGATTGGCGAGCAGAAGGGGAGCATTTTATATCCATTCTGTCGGTATGGAGAGTAAGCAAGGCGGCAATCGGGGTACGTATACTCTTGCTTGGAAATGCAGCTTCGTAAGGTTCGTAGGGGTTGCTAGAAAGAGGGTGCAAGTTCGTGAAGGTTCGTGAATGTTCGTGAAGGTTCCTGAAGGCTGGAGCTTTGTCAGGATGCGGCGAGCGGGTTCGCGAAGATGCCAGAATGTTCTGTGGCTAGGGCGCTGAGTCATCATGTGGCGTCCACCAAGCCTCACCTTTGAACTAATTCGTGCCCGGTGCCAGCGCAAATCGTCCCCACCAAAATTAGTTGAAAAGGATATTTTCGATCGCGCGATCAACGAAATGTCATCGTATTAGGCGCAAAAAAAGTGCAATTGATAAGCCTCCTGATTAAAAAGCCGTATTGGCTTTTTAGAGTCACAAAAGAATTTCACCGGGTGGGGTGGTGTTGATGATGTTTGGCGGGGTTGATTATGTGAGCGACGTCGCATAAATTAGTTCACGGGGGTTGTCTTGCTGCAGTACACCTGACACCTTTTCCAATCACTTGCCAGGGGAGTTCCAGATTGTCCCCTTCTCTATTGCCCTCCCGTAATTGCCTTAATGCCCGTTTGGTATGCTGCCAAGCTACCATTTAGTTGCTTCTGGATTGCAGGGTTCTTCCATCGGTCCTGTGTACAGGCTGGTTTTATCGTAACCCCGAGTCTTGGGGACTCCGTATCTTTCGTACTTATAGAACTGCTTGAAAAGGCAGGGCGTCTTCAGGCCTCTATTTCCTGTGCAGGTTCATCTCGTGTCGGAGGTTGTCAAATCAACGCCTTTCATTTCAGATTCCCAGCATTTCACGGAGCCTTCCAGAGAGCCTCCGGAAATCGCATACTCCTCCTCCGCTCTCTCTTGGTTCTCGAGAGGGTGGGGGTGCCATGGCTTCTTGGTATTGACATCGCCTCCCATGGATGGGGCGTAACGAAAAATTGGGAAGGCAGAGGGGAGGGGCAAAGATAAAGACCGGGCCACCCCCGGCCCAGCGTTTCCTTCCATTGTGGATAAAGTTAGGCAGAATGAGAGTGCCGTTGAACGTCTTGCAAAAATGCAAGCAGATGCTTCCTTAGATGACACGAGGCGCCTCGAACATGTTTGCCAGGCGGCCAGAAGGAGGCTGAGATCGCCATCAAAGAAGAGAGACTCGGAAAAGGAACAGTGATGATAGTCACTTCCCCCTTTTTTTACATCTGGTGTGTGCGCAGCAAGGCGACTAGCCTAAATTTGGGAGTATTGATCTCCACGGGCCTCTGGGGGTTTAAGGAGAGAACGTCATGTTGAAGAGTGATCAATGTTCGACGTTAACGTTTGAATCCAGGCGGGTATAAGGACTTGAAGGTTTAAGATAGAATGGACGCCATAAGGAACGGGATACAGCTAGCTCTTCATCAACGGTACAACTAGCTCGCCAAATCTCACAGTTTCATTTCACCGAAGGGGGATTTTCTGACGACGGATATATATCACGAAATGCGAACAGATTGAGTATCGAGCAATCAAATCCCAGCACGAACACCCCACACTCTTAGTGTTAAACCCTCCTGTTCATGCCTTACTCCTCTGGTTCACCCTGCATCTCCTGCAGCCTCCCCTCTAACCCTTCCTTCTCGATCTCGTACTTTCCATAAACCCCAGGCAAATCGGCCGCTAACGTCCCATTAACCGCAAATTCCAACAGTGTATTCACATCACCCACCTCCATCGCCTGAAGTTTATACATATGCCCATCATCCAGGACAAGTGCATCGGGCTCGATGGTAGAGGTACACTTCTGCGCCTCCCCTTCGATCCCTTCTACAGTAGTCCAACTCGTCCCAGTAAAATGCTTCCCACCGGCAGTTGCCTTCGTGCCTAGACACTTGTTGGGCGAGGAAGTGGCAACTTTCTTTGCAACATCCCCGCACTGCGAGTTAGACGACTTAGGGTGCCAGCCTATCACGGTCACCTGTTTGGGCAGCGAGACGAAGAGGGCGGAGGGTGCGCCGTCTACTGGCACGTGTAGAGTGCCGCCACAACAGGTGGAAGGGCCGATAGAGCGGCATGTTAGGTGGCCGCCTTTGCAGTTGGCGTTGAAGTGGTTGCGGATTGTAGTCCCCGAGGCGAGGGGGATGAGGAGGCCGAGGGCAATTGTAAAGGCGAGCTACATGTTCAAGATGACAAGGTTGCGGTGTGGGTCTTGGATGAGAGTTGATGTGCTAGTATTTGTGGCCGGCTTCAAGTGAGGGGAAAGAAGTTTTTATACCCGGATGCGACAGTCGATAATAGTGGAGACTTTTTCCCAGGAGTCTGCATCATCATATGAGACGTGCTCAGGCCTCTCCCTCAGTTTGTTAATCCCACACTTCCTACTGCTCCTGCTTTCATCATCCCCAGCCTCGTGCCTTAGGTTGCCGCTACAGTCGGATGCTATATATGCCCACGTGTGATCCATGCGGATCTTCAGGTACCCGCTTCTATTTGAAGCTACCTTGAGCCTGATCCCCTCCTCGCCCAAGCCGTAACTACTTTCATCCGCCTCGCATACATCCAGAGTTGGCAACAATTAAGTTAATTAAGTTAGGGTGAATTGCTTAATTAATTAACAGATCTAGCACGTTTTAATTAACTTAATTAACTTAATTAATAGATTACGTAGTGAATTAACCGCCTTATATCTTATAGATAGTCTCTAGGTCTTTAGGAGAGATAGCGTTACTATGTGGACTTTTTGCTAACTTTGTAGGCTTTAAGCTAAGGCGCTTCTAAACCTATTACTATAATAAGTTTAAGCGCTAGATAATTAAGTTACCTGTACTA